CTACACGAAAGTGAAAAGATAACAAAGAAGCAAAAGTGTCTGTAACTAAAATTAGTTGGTAGCATGGTAAAGATACATAAAGGTTTTTTATAATATCTCACAAAATTCATAGATGGTACATATTCCCTAAAGATAAGCCTGCCCACCAGTCATTCTCATTTATGTACATATTCAGTGTATTCTTTTTCTGAAAATAGTGAGAGTTCCGGTTAAGCTGTTTAACTTAGGAGGATGTTTCCCAAAAGTACAGATAGTGCTGTGAATACCAGTAGTACAACAATCTGCTTTTCTACTCATGTAGGTCTCTAAACTAGTTTAAGAGAAACATTTAAGAAATCCTATGTTCCAACTCAGATTTTTTTCAGACTTTAACATGGTCTTACCCTTTATCTCACACATGTGGTATTTCTGTCTGATAAGTGTTCAGGCTAACACATCCTTTGCTTCAGTGTCTTTTCTATTCAGCTGCTTTTGTTTCCTACAAAACCTGTAGGATTGATTTGTTGAGATTTCTCGGACTTATCTTGTGGATTTATATTTTAGGTGAAGAGGCACACACAGGACACAGTTACAAAACTCTTTTTCTGAGGAAAGCAAACCTAAACATCCATAGAGTGAGATAATGTCACCTTATCTACATCTAATTATGGAGATACTGATTTCTGAATCCATCTGAGTTAGTATTAGGTGACTAAAGTTATTATTCTTTTCCTTATCCAGTGTCCTTTCAGGTTATAGTCTTGATTTCAGGCATGACTGAACCTTGTTAAATAATTGCTTAGACTTTCAAAGTTTGTAGGACAAAGTATTCACATAAATGGAATCAAATTTTGTTTACCATTAATATGCTGAACTGTATTTAATGTGTACTGTAGAAACCCTCTTTCTGTGTTACAAATGTCAGTAGTTTAGAGTACAGAGCACTAGTCCCTTTTTTTCTTTTAAAAAACATTGCTTCCCCAGAGGAGTATGAATTTCTGTGTATGAGCTGAAATAATTTCAAGATCTTTTGTGTAAGCATTTGGATTTTGGAGCACTTAAATCCTCATGCTGTAAAAAGAGAGCATTATTTGCTGTTAGCTATAATGGAGCAAGTGTTCCTCTGTAATGTGATTGCTTGGGCAATTTTTGACTGATCACAGTGAGCTATCCAGTCCTTTTTGTAGGCAAATGATCTTACAAGACCTTTGTCTTTTATTCTGTCTCCATCTGTTGATGGGATGACTTACATCTTCTGTGTGGACTCATAGACAGGATTTAGGTGCCAATCCAGCAAACTACTTAAACAACAGTTTAACTTTAAGCCTTAGAGCAACTAAATTAAAAGGTTAAAAAAAAATTGAAATAACATTGCTAACACACTACTGTTACCTTTAAAAGGAAATTTAGATTAGGTTGTATTGATATATGAACTATAAATGGAATAAGGAGTGTTAAACATACGCTGAGAATAGAAACCATAGATTAAGACCTTTGTCTTTAGTATAGAATTTAAAGGAGGAAAGATTCCTGTTCAATAGCAAAGAGAGTCTATATCTTCTATGCTTCTTTTAGATCAGCACTGCTTGACTGTGTAGTTTGGCAAACAGAACAGATTTATCACAGATGTATGTAGTAGTTCCCTCTGGCCCAAGAAAGAC